GTACCCTTGGACTACTGATGTGTGCAGGGTTTAGATGCATATGCAAGTTTTAAATTTATAACCCTAGGAAACTGCAAGTGCACAGTATTGACAATTGTAGTACTTAGGAGTCGTTCCACTGAGGACTAAGTGATGATGCACTACAAATCTATATGATGCGAATTAAGCTAGATGAATATATTATTTGGTTTTTAGGGTTTTTGGAAGCAAATAACAAAGAAATAAAGTAAAGATAGATAGTTCAATCAAGATAAAAAAATCAAGCAATTCTCAAGACATATGCAAGACACAAGTAAACGATTTAGGTCTTTAATACTAGTTCTTCTAGAACTTAAATCACTAAGGTAAAATCATACCACTGTCGTGGATCAAACTTCTATGTCTTCTTCCCTAATAGACTCAACTATCGTATGGTTATTACAAGGTGAAGACACACGTAAAGTGTAAGTTTCGATTGTTCACTAAACTCCTTAACTAATCTATCGAATTGTTAAGACGCTTAGCTCATCAAATACTAGGCCCATACATATAACAAGCTTTTGGAGAGTATATCAACTTAATATCACTCACTGGGTAGCTAAGCCAGATCATTCTTTGAGCATAAATAGAGATGAAGAATCAATTCTAGAATAAAACCTAGAAATAAGAAAGTGCATAGAAATCAAATTAAGGCTAATACTGTACATGTTTTGCAACAAGAAGTAGCAAGATTAAAGCAAATAAACATAGCATAAATCATTGATCTATAAAGCGTAAGGGATTAGATCTCATCTCTTTGCAATAGGGCAAAGTCGAACTACCCTTAAAGGCTTTTAGAATCAAAGATGCATTAAGAACAAGAGATAAACGAAATACATGTTTAGGTATTGATTTTGGCTATTATAACTGGCTGATCTTACTTCCTTGAGAAGCTAAAAGCAAGTATATATAGGGGTTTAAGAGGTCCTAAGTCGGCTAGGGTTTAGTTTAGGGCAAAAGTGTCTTTTACGTCGAAACTGCTCACCGGTCCGAGCAACTGTCCGGTTGCGTGATCGGTGTTGAGGTCTTCCTTGAGGCTTCTAGAACGTCTTCAATGGCCAGGATCATCGGCCCACGGAACGGCCCGGTGCTTGGTTCATTTCTGCACATGCTTCACTTCTAAGGCAGTTTGACATATCTTTAGTGTTTCCAATGTATCTTCTAAAGTACAGCTTCAAATGGTATCATTCCAACTTCATTGGCAAGCTAACTCAAAGGGATATCTTCCCACCAAGTTGAATTATATTCCAAGTTGATTTGGTTCTCCGTTCATCAGTGAACTTCTGGTATATACGTTCTGTTCAACTTGAGAATATGCTTTATTTTCAAGATATAATGACTTGGCTTGGCTCTTTTGACTTGAATAAGTAGTTATATCATAGATAACACTCCTTTTGATCCTTTTTGTATCCTTTTGATGATTAAACCTATTAAAACCTTCAAATCTATATATACGAGAAAACTACCTCTTTTGGTCGAATTACTTTATTAAAATATATAAAAATATAGTAAAATATATAGTAAAAATGGTAAAATATAGGGTATATCAACT